ACATTGTTTTAACTTTAGTAAAGATTAATAGAATGTGCGCCATGGTTCCCATAAATGAATTCAGTGCGTGGACATCTTTAAAGTGTATGTGAATAATAATGAACTTCATGGTATGATGTTCTATGGACTGCAGCAAATAATGTTGAAAGAATAGACGAAAAAAACAATTGTTGGTATAGATTGGTAAAGTATAGAGAATTTCAAGCTCGGTAGACTATACGACTACACATGTAAAGATATAAAATAATAATTTATTCAGATATATTGCAAAGTCTGTTAATCAAATATACATTGTTCTGGCCTATATCTTTTCAATTTATTTATGAAGTAAAATTGGAATATTTAAATTTATTGCATGATAAAAATTGATAGCCGAATACAAATTATCAATATTTTTCAAATATATATCTGAAATGCCGGTACACGAAATAAAACGCTGTTTAAAAAATAAACGGAGTGTCTACTCAAATATGGTTATCCGCAATAAATAAGGATTAAAGTAATAAAAGTATATCGGATAAATAAATAAAAAAAATGGAAATTGCTTTGTTTACATTTCGAATACGAAACTGAACAGATATTGACCATTTGAAGATGTCAACAAAGAAAAAAGTACTTAAAAGGCAAAATAGAATGTTGCTTAATGGGAACGCTTTTCGGAGCAAAGATGTTTAAATCACATCGGATACAACAACGGTTTTTGCTGCAATTGACGCGGGATCGAATCTGGTCGGAGGTGGCTTTTTTTCTCTAATAACATTTACTTGAAAAATCAGTCCGGTAGATGAAGTTAAATACTGTTTAAAAATAAGCGAAGCGTCAACTCAAATATCGGTATCCACTTCTAAATAATTATTAAAAGTATGTCAGAATAATATATAAAAATCTACTGTTTCGAAATATATCCATATATATATATATATATATATATATATCTCAAAACATATAAAACGAAATATAGCCATATATATATATATATATATTAAGAAATGGACAAAGTCCGACAATTTATTTATTAAAGACATTTTTATGTTTAACGTTCTTTTTATAGATACAAGTATTTAAGTAAATGCTCTGTTTATAATAAACAGTATTAAATAACATTTACCGGCCTGAATGTCCGAGAAATTTTCATAGGACGAATATTTTCTATGAAAATTCCTCGGACATTCAGGCCGGTAAATGTTTATTCAATACTGTTTATTATAAACTTATTTAAATACTTGTATCTATAAAAAGAACGCTAAACATAAAAATGCCTTTAAAATATATATATATATGAAAGAAAAATACAGAAAAAAAAAACAAAATTCTGAATATGCATTATTAAGAGCCCAACTAATTCAGACAGATCTGTCTGAATTAGTTGGGCTCTTATGTCCATCGTCTTTTGTGTTAAATTGTTATAAGTTATAATGTTAATTATGTTTAAATGAAAATGTCCATGAAGATGGTCTTAAATAGACCGAAACGTCCGACGTCGACTTTATTTTAACATTAATAATGCATATTCAGAATTTTGTTTTTTTCTGTATTTTTCTTTCATACTGTCGATTTATATCCATATATTTGCTTACATTATATATATATATATATATATATATATATATATATATATATATATATATATATATATATAAAACATATATGAGAGAACGTTAAAAATGTTATAATATCTACTTATGTCCGTGATAAAGTCCTGCGGCTAAAATCAGTTATACTTTTTCATTTATAACAGAGATAAATATGTACTTGTAAAATTTAGGATTGACAAGTGGTTTAAGAAATATTGTTTCAAGCTAGAAAACATACTGGGTTGTTTTGCTCATGAGTGCATTAAAGTATTTCATATTCATGATGTGTTTGAACATGTGGTTTTACGTCTGTCAAATCTCAAGGCTTTTTTACGGTTTCTTACACTTGGAATGACATTTTCTTTGCGATTTCAACAATTTCCTTCTTAAATGGTGTGAAACGGGTTGAAATCAGCAGAACTAAACAACCATTAACAAATAAATCAAGTGATGGAAATAAAGATATGGTTATAAATGTTACTGTGTTCTGTATGTGAACATTAATATATATATATATATATATATATATATATATATATATATATATATATATATATATATATATATTTCTTTGGTGCAATTAATTTATGACTGACAAATATAATTTAGATTTCAAGATTTCAATATATAAATATATTAATATACACATATTTTATTAATGAGATCAAAATTTCATTCATATATTTCTAGCTATAACTGTGATCTCGCCTGTACTCTAACACTGAACACACACACACACACACACACACACATATATATATATATATATATATATATATATATATATATATCATTGTGACCTTTGCTTTTTTCTACTTCTGTCAGACATTTTGTTCAGACCCTCTGTATGCATATGTAATTACACACACACACACACACACACACATATATATATATATATATATATATATATATATATATATATATATATATATATATATATATATATAAAGCAATAATATAACCATTTTAGATTGTTAAAATATAACTTTGATAAAATATTAACAATATATATGGTAATAAATTGATGAATGTCTCTATGCTCCGTTAAACTATGGGTTAGGAGACAAGATAAATGGGATCTTAATTTATCTTCCAGAAATACTCCTCTGTACCTTTTTTCTTTTGGGCGGAGATTAAGTTTAACATGGAATAGACTGTCACCACACGATGTTGATCTTTGTCTCAACTCTATATTTACACATGCTTTTCTACTGGTATTGACCGCTTTACCCATAAATATAACATACTTTAAAAATTATATTTTTTATTATTATATATATATATATATATATATATGAAGATATATATATTTATTTGTGAAGAAAAAAAAATCTTTACCATCGCGTTTCGGCCACCCATGGAATTTTATTTTGCAACGTTTATTATAAACAGAAATGAAAAAAAATATCGTTATATTTTTATAATTTTAAAATTTAAGAGCTCTCGAAAATATTCCTAAGATTAACTATGGAAGTATTTTCTAAATATTTTTTTCTTCTTAATACGACGAATTTTTTATTACTTCAATCTTTTTTTTTTTTTTTTGCTAGATATATTTGAGTAGAGGCTCCATTTTATTTTGTTTCTTAGCAATATTTATTTCACTTACCAGCCTGCATAATATGGGCATCCACTAAAAATAAAGTTGGGAAAAGAAAAAATATCTGATTAAAAATGAATTAAAATCCATTAAATCTTTAGACATTGCTTTGTTTACACTCCGGGTACAAAACCGAGCATTTATGTCCACCCAAGAAAATCCGAACAAGAGAGTCTTCTTTAAAGGCAAATAGAACCATACTTAATTGTAAAGCTCTTTGTAGCTGAGTGGTTAATGCACGCCGGAACATATTGTTGTTTAATTCAGATTGAGAGACATAGCCATGATATTAAGCTACGATACATATATATAAAAAATGTAACATGGAGTTACATATCACTTTTTGCTTTTTCGGCTACAAGTCGTAGTTATTTTTTAATGTACTCTTTAAATGTTGCATTTAATAAACCATAAACAAAACAGAAAAATGGTGATGTGTACACTGTTGGAAATAAAACTACTAATTCTGGACGCACTTTCAATCAGTGAATATCGGTTCTTGTTCAACGATGGTCTCTAGAGAACTCGGCGTTGACATGAGAGACTAAAAGATGACGAATGCCCAGGAAGTAAGGGATTTTGTCGAGGATTTATCGACTTCCTAACAATGATATTTACACGACAGAAAAATAAAATATTATTACATGATGGCATATAAATATTTTAATTACATCAAAACCTACATTGATTAAGACTTTCTTCATGATTAAATGAGGCTTCTCTTTAAAGGATGTATTTTTATAAGAAAAACAAAAAAACCTTAATATTTATGACAAGTTAATGTATATGGATGCGTATAATATTGTACAATTTGTCAGCAATATTTCTTTTATACGTATTGATTTGAATGTAGCGGAAAATTTATATACATATGTATATGGGTGTGCACACGCACGTGTGTGTGACTATGTGTGTTAAGGTGTGTGTAGGTATGTATATGTATATGTAAGTTTATAAATAGATTTAAAATTGTAAAAAGATAATTTTCTTTATCTTTTAATAAAAAATGTTAATAACATATGAAATTTTAAAAAAATTAAAATCAGAAAAGTAATGTATATGCATGCTCATAAAATTTCGACATTTATTAAAGAAAACGGAAAACTTCTGACCTTTAAAATTAAATTAATTAAATAAATGAAATAAAATAAAATATATAGTAATTACATAAAAATGAATAATAATAACGACAAAAACAACAACAAAAATAATTTAATTCTGTTTAATATACCAAACACCTATTCACTTATCCTCCGCTAGAGTTTTACCTTTCCTTTAGGCTGTAAGATTTTTAAACATTTAAGAGCGTTCTTGAATGCAACATTTGAACGTTTAACGTTATTTTTTCTCTGTTACATCTGTATATAATGACAGATTGCTAACAAAAGGTCTTCACACACACACACACACACACACACACACACACACACACACACACACACACACACACACACACACATATATATATATATATATATATATATATATATATATATATATATATGGCCTACGCGCGTGTACAAACACACACGCACACATACACACACGCGTTGCAGTGCCCACCTGCAAAGAACTTTAACACCATATGAAAAAATTATAATAATCTTTTAACAACCGCTCTGAATACATTGGGAAATTAATGTTCAAATTTTCCATAGAAACTAAAAAAATATGTGCAAATCGTAGTTAAACTAAAGAAAAAAAGTTAGGCAAAAAAATTTTCATTTTCAACCATACTTGTATATTTGAAAAATGGCCGCCAAGACATTGTTCATCTGTTTTTGTTTATACCGAGTTACCTCTCAAATAAGTCATTATTTCACATGTTTCATTCATTCTTTCATTTTTGCTTACTTTTTAACATTTTGTCCCGTTCTTCTTCCTTTTTACTTTTATATGTTGTTAATTTGTAACTTGAAGAGACGGCTTCTTTTCACTTCTTTATTCTGTCTGCCCATGAATTTTTTTTTGCCTGATTTTTTTCCTATACTTCTTAATTTCCTGATTGTAAAAATTAAATTTATTTTTCGCATTTTTATTTTTAGTATTCTGTCCTTTTGTTATCTTCTTTTCTTTTCTTTCACTTTCCTTTCACTATCATTTTCTGCCATTTTGTTTCTTTTTAGCAATTAGCCTTTCTTACTTTGGGCGATGTTGTTTCTCCAAAGTTGCTACGCCATAATTCTTACATCAAGGATTTCCTACGTTTATTCTTTGAAAATTTTAATTCTTCCTGTTTTCTCTCTAACTTTTTTTCTACCGTTCTTTTAAATTGTTTCTTATCTTTGTGTCTTATACGACGAAATCTCTTATTTTTCTTCCTTGCTTCGTTTTCGCCTTGTGTCCTATTCCCAAAATCATTTAGTCCTTCCTCTATGGCTTTTTTGTCTTATTTTCCAAATCGCTTTTCCTTTCTTCTATTCTTTTTTGTTTCTTTCTTTCTCGCTTTTTCTCTCTTTGTGTCCTATTCCTGAAATCTTTTATTCGCAAATTTCTTATACCTTTCTTCCTTCATATTTTTTTTTATCTTTGTGTCCTATTCTTAAATTCTCTTATTCCTTTCTTCTTCGCAATTTTTTTATCTGTGTGTCCTATTCCGCAAATTTCTTATAGCTTTCTTCCTCGACATTTTTTGTGTCCTATTCCCTAAATCAGTTATTCCTTTCTTCATCACATTTTTCTCTCTTTGTGTCCTATTTTCCAATTATTTATTCATTTCTTTATTTTTTTTCTTTCATTTTGTGTCCTATTTTCTAAATTGCTTTGATTTGCTTCTCTTTTTTACACTTTGTATCCTATTCTTCAAATCTCTTATTCCTGACTTTCTTGTGTCTTTCCTTGTGTCATTCCTGTACCGTTTTCATCACTAATATTCTTTTACATTTTCCCTGTTTTAATTCCTTCTTATAATCAAGTTCTGATTCAATTCTTTTTCTCTTCCGCCTTCTCTTGCCTAATTCCTTCCTTCCCTCCCTCCTTCCTCCATTCATTCATTCATTCATTCATTCATTCATACTTTCGCTTATGACTACCTTTTAGTTTTTATTTGTCCTTGCTTTTCTGTGATCAGAATTTTGTGATATTCTTAGTCATTCTATGCTTTTCGTTTTCTAGCTTTCTCTTCCTCTTTATTTCCTTCATTTTTTAAAACTTTTTCCTTCCTGTCTATTATACCCAAATATTTCCTATTTTTCTAGCCCTTAATCTTCGTTTCATTACGTTGTTTTATTTTCGTTTTTGTTCTCTCCTCTTACTTTAAATCACTTATAATTTTCATGTAGTTATATTTCTTCGCTTTTTTTTTCATTCATTTCTTGCCTTCTTTCCTTCTTTAAATCACTCAATTCATCCTTCCTTCATTGTTGCTCTCATTCTTTTTTTTTATTTCATTCTTTTTAAATCCCCTTAGTTCTTCCCTCAATATTTATTCATTCTTTCTTTTCCTCTTTTTTAATTTGCTTCATTCCTAATTTCAAGCTCTTTTTATTCCTTGCGTCTTTTCTTCCGTTCTGCATTCTTTTTCTTCTGTCTTTCCGTTTCATTTCACCTACCATTCTGTTAGATCTATTTTGTTCTTTATTTCCATTTTACGTCACTACTGCCTGCCATCTCTACCTTCATTCTCCCGATCAGACCTTAACACTTGGTGTGCTTTTCATTTGTAATTTATGTTTCCTTATAATTTACTGTTTTCCTTTCCTCTCTCTCACTTTAGCGCGCACATTTTTTACTTCCGCCGTCACACTCTCCCTGTTTTTCTCTCACACACATTATATTTATATTTAGGCAGCAAAAAATCATTGAAACAAGTTTATTCATTTCAACTGACAAGGTTTGCTTATTCAACATAGCTTGTATTTTTGAAGTTTTCGTAAAAATTGTTGAACATCAAAATCAAATTTTTTGAAAAACTAGTCAAAGTTCATTATGTTTTTTGGACATTTTTTTTTTAATATAAATATTGATTGCGTTGATTATAATCAGAAGTTAAATGCGATCAGAATATATGATAGTACACATAAAAATTTAGTAAATCTATGCTGTTGGTTCACATATACATATCTCTCTTTCTTTTCTCTCTCTCTCTCTCTCTCTCTCTCTATATATATATATATATATATATATATATATATATATATATATATATATATGTATGTATGTATGTATAGGTAGAAAAATGCGTGGGTAAATAATCCACGGAGATCCTATTAACATAAAATATTAAAACTGATCCACAAAAAAGAGCTCAGTATAATATTTATTATAGAGCATATAAGTGAATTACAATCAATGAAACCCAAACAAATTACCCCATACAGATGGCCATTACGTCCTTGTGCAATGTCAAGTCCAGGAAAAAATATTCCCGAGGACGAAATAGTCATCTGTGTCTGGAAATTTGTTTAGGTTTCATTGATTGTAATCCCCCCATATATAGATAAGAAATAGTTTGTTGCATGTATGTATTCATATAATGTTTTCATTTTCAAAATACGGTCAGTATATTGTGTCCATGTTCATAGTGGATATTATTGAGTATTTTTTTTTGTTTTTGTTTTTATTAATAAGGTTTCCATTATTTGTAGGCTTTTTTTTTGTATGTAGATGATGTCATTTATTTGTGATGTCAACAAGTATGTTACGGATAAGGTCTTGTAGGTCTCCATGAATATCTAAATGAGATCTAATTGAGCTATGGTCAGAAAGATGTAGAGTAAGTGTTCGTGTCAAACATGCTGCAGTGTAATTATTTAGGGATATTGATTGGTCATGAATACAATTATTTAATGGATATTTAAATTAGTAAACAAGATTTTTCCTATTTAATTTTGATGTAAGAGGTGAATTTGAGAGAAAGACTCACTCTACACATTTCTGACTCAAATTTGGTAAAAGTATTTTTGATACACACTGTGTGTGTGGGGGGGGGAGGGAAACGTAAATAAATATGTCATGTAGTCTCTAGATAAAATGACAAACGTTTATTTTATGCAAGGAGTTAATTTTTAACATAATCACTTTCCTTTGCTTTATTTATGTACTTTATTTAGTTGTGATTATTAGAAAGCTCAAATATCATAATGTGAAAACTTCAGATGAAAATTTAACGAGAAATTTCATATCATGTAAACGAAATTACTTATCCGCTCTTGTGAATTATATATATATATATATATATTTGAGGATCAGTTTTAATGTTGTGTATTATTAGGATCCACTTGGATTATATACCAACAGATTTATTACATATATATATATATATATATATAGTTTATGCAAAACTAGGTAATCCGTATAGGTAGACCCAAGGAGGATGATATCCGGAGAGCTCAATGTAAATTTAGTGCAAATATGTTTGAATAAAAAACAGACCACTTTAAGGTTCCATGTAATAAATTATTTCACCACAGCCCTTTTTAAAGGGTTTAGTAAGAATATTTTACACACACACACACACACACACACACACACACACACACACACACACACACACACACATATATATATATATATATATATATATATATATATATATATATATATATATATATATATACACAGGGTGGAACGCACAGTGAAACTATAGTCATGTCAAAACATAGGTACGCGTATATGTATTATTTAATACACATACACACATATGTATATATATATATATATATATATATATATGTAGAGAGAGAGAACACATATATATATATATATATATATATATATATATATATATATATATATATATATATATATATATATATATATACTACAGACACGTATGCGTAAGTATATATAATTACTTCCTTCTTCCTTTTCATTTTTCCTTTCCCATTACTTCCACCAGTCGATCATTCACAGCCTATTTCCAAACTCGCCAACAGAAAGTTTAGCAACTTTATATCTACCACCCACTAACAATTTCCGACCTCATGATCCTCTTCACCTCACCCAATACAAGTGTCATTCATTTACTGCTCACTTCATTCAAAGAACGCTATTGGTTATGGACTGCCTGTTGAATGTGACCCCACACCATAAACAACATATCAGCCATATGTTGGAACAAATGCACAGGGTTTTCCTGATACCTTCAGTAACTACCTTACATTTCCAGGTGTCGGTTGACGGGTTTCGCAGCTAACGTTGAAGGATAAAAATATAGTCAGGATATAATTAGTTAACAAATGAATAAAATCAAATATATAAATGACACTATTTAAACAGACTGATCCATTCGTAAATAAAAAGGAACTTATTTTCCTGAAAATCCTGTTTATGAATTGGCATTTCTTAGATATTCCTCAATCCGCAACATTTGCCATAAACGAATGTTTTTGATTTTATTTATCAATTTTTTAGTAGTTCTTTTTCATAATATCGACACAATGTAAAATCTACTTTTGACTTTTATATATTTATCACCATTTAGTTTCTGTTTCCCATATGTCGAAAAATGCTTATGTCATTGATAGCTGCATATTTTTATAATTTGTTATTTTATATCAATTTTTGTTCCTTAATTAAAAAAAATGGCGTTAATTAAAAAATATATGCGTATATTTATTCATTAATGACTAAAAATATGGAAAACAGTCAATTTCGCTAAATGATTAATTCATGATTTCGAATATTTTCTGAGAATAAAAGACAGGATATTCGTTTGGTCTTTATTTAAAAGAGTTAGCACGCAAATATCAACGGCGTAAGAACAAGTTCAAACTTGACATTTGTAAACTAAACAAAAAGCAAATTTTCGGTAACTTATTATCTTCTGTTTCTTAATTCCTCTTCAATTATTGTTCGCACGCACTAATAAGGTTAGCTAGGATAATAGTTTTTGCATACGGGTCGGGTGAATTTAGGGTTGTATATTTTGAACAGATTTACAATGAACATTTAATTTACAAAAAAAAGAAAGAAAAAAAAACAACGCACTTTTTGCATTGTAGAAGTGAGTCCGATAAGGATCATATCTAAAAAATTAATTTTGACATTTTTAATAAAATATCGTCATCATTCATTGATATATATATATATATATATATATATATATATATATATATATATATATATATATATATATATAAGAGTTTTGAGTGTCAATCTGAGGACAGCGCAGAGGATTCGGAAAGAGTTCGATGAGTCTAATGGTAATTACGAAGGTACGGCAACTCAGAAAAACTACTCTGATCAAGAAGGTGACTGCAGGAAGACCCTATGTCTGGCAACAGGACCCTGCTACATATCACACAAGCAGGAGAAACCAATCATGGCTGTCGGAAATTTCTGTAACCACATCATCCCATTCCGCTGTCACGCTAATTATTCAGATTGCAACACCCTTGATTATCATGTGTGGGGCGCAGTTGAGTGAGAGACAAACAAAACTCCTTTTAAAACCAAAGATGAACTGAAGGCCATGATTATGGCAGCATTCACCAACTTACACAAGGGTACAGTTCAGAAAAGATCCAGGAGATTTCTAAGTCGTCTGGAGCTTGAGGTTGAATACAATGGCAATTTTATTGGATAAATTTACTCATCAAGATATTTTTTGTGTAATCTTCGTAAAAATATCTGTTAAAATAAGATGTCAGTATTATTTTCATTTCCGCGTAAAGACGACAATTTATCTATCGCACGCTTAACAGTTGGAAAATACGAACATCATGGCCTAACCCAATTAAAAAAAATGGTTAAAAACATAAGAAGAGTATAAATAATAAAAATGAAAAATCCAACGCCCAAAGATATGAACTATGAACACGGCCAGAACAAGCAGACCGTGTTTGGAAAACAAACATTCTCATTCACATTTATATAAAAGTATACATATTCAGTAAAAAATATTAAAAATATATACTTTTACAGAATAGACGAAAGCATATATATATATATATATATATATATATATATATATATATATATATAATGAGGAACAGCTATAAATCTCTTGTTTCCAGGCACTTCTTTCGATCTGAAAAAAAATGAACTAAAATTAAAATGTTGTCGTGGGAAACCTTACTTCGCTGGGCAACATAATTCCACAATAGAAACAATAATTCTTAAAAGCACAAAAACAAACACTCACAGATGTATACATATTTTTACATCTACTTGCAAATATCATATATTCATAAGGAATAAAAATATAATAAAATTTTGAAACGATATATATATATATATATATATATATATATATATATATATATATATATATATATATATATATATAAACATTTGATGGGCTGATGAAAATCTTGGCTCAAGCTACTTCCTAAGATTTTCAACGAATGACCTAACATAAAAATTTTTGTGGGAATCTCTACTTAGTCGGATTGAATAAAATATTACAATTCACACTTGCACACACACACACACACATGCACGCACACACACACACGTGTATGTATTTACATATATACAAATACATGCACATTTATGCACAAAAATATATATATATATATATATATATATATATATATATATATACGTATATATATATATATACGATATATATATATATATATATATATATATATATATATATATATATATATATATATATATATTTCTTCCAATTTAGAAGCTTGGAAATTTTGGTTAAAAACTACTACGGAAATACTGAACGTTGTTTTGTTGTCATGTAATTTTTTTTCAAAAATTAGATCATTGACAGATTTTAATGAAATTTTCAGTACATGTTCAGAAATGAATTAAATTAATTATTACCTCCTTCATTTTAGAATATCTTTTTAAATTTCCAAAAAATCATTTTGTATCGATGAATG